CACACTGTCAGAGGGTCAGTACTGAGGGAGTGCTGCACTGTCAGAGGGTCAGTACTGAGGGAGCGCCGCACTGTCAGAGGATCAGTAGTGAGGGAGTGTTGCACAGTTGGGGTGAGAGGTGGGGTGGCAGTATTGAATGGGCCTCTCTGGTCCTAGGTTCTCCCCCAGTGGAGAATGAACCTGTCAAACCCCCTAAGAATCTGGTAGATTTCAGTTAAGTTGCCTCTCATCCTTTTGAACGTCACAGCGTACAAGGAAAACCTACTCAACCTCTCCTTATAAGACTGTCCCTCTATGGCTGGAATCACCCAAGTGAACCTTCTCTGGACAGCCTCCAATGCCAGTGTATCTTTCCTTATATAAGGGGTATAAAACGGTTCATAGTATTTGTGACTAATGCTTTGAAGAATTTTAACCGAGTCCTCCTCATTGTCATACTCCATTCCCTTTGAAATAAAAGCCAACAGTCCCTAATACCTACTGAAACTGGATGTTAGCTTCTGTGATTCATGTATGACGGCCCCCAAAATTGTCTGTTCTGGAACTTTCTGCAGTGGAAATGAGATTATGCACCTCGGCAGGAAGAATAGAAGAGTTGAATATTACTTAAATGGGGAAAGACTACAGAGAGCATAATCTCTAGTTAGGGGGTTAGCCATTTAAGACAGAAATGAAGAGGAATTTCTTCTCTCAGAGGGTAGTGAATCAGTGGAATTATTTACTGCAGAGGGCTGTCTAGACTGGGTTTTTGTGGCTGAGAGACACACATTTTTCATCAGTAAGGGAAACAAGAGTTATGGGGATAAGGCAGGAAAGCAGAGCTGAGGATTATCAGATCAGCCATTGAATGGTAGAGCAAACTTGATGGACTGAATGGCCTACTTCTGTACCACAGTTTTTATTGTCCTTTGTTTTGAGGGTGTGTTGCACTGTCAGAGCTACTGCTTTTCAGATAAAACAACATACTGAGGCCCTGTCTGTCTGTCCTTTCAGATGGAAATAAAAACCCATAGCCACTAGTTTGATGAAGAGCAGCGGGGGTGGAGAGGTGGAGGTGTGGAGGGCTTGGTAGATCTCCCCAGATTCATGGGTCATATTTTTGTCCCTAAATTAACAGAATGTACAAATAAAATTATCATTTTTCATGTTGTGGGAGCTTGTGCTCATACCTGCTGCTAAATTTAATTCAATCTAACAGCGACTCCCTCATTAAAATAAATTCATTGTCTATGAATCCCACTGTATAAATGCAAAGCTTACTTTCTTGAAAAGTAGATCTGATAAATATTCAAACGATGACATTGCCTGAGGGGTGCACTAAAAAAGATACAAGTGCACATGCCCCAGTGTACATAAAATATTGTTTATTCCTTCAATCGTTTCTCCATGGAATGGTTGGATATGGAAGTTTGATTATTCAATGTTCTGCCAAATATGACAGAACACTGCCTGATTATTGGACTCAATTTATTCTATCCTTTTGTTTAACCTGACACTTCACTTCCAGTGAGTTTTATTCTATTCCAGATGACGGATGATTTCAGACTTCAATTTAGTCAGCATTGGTTAGATACAAAATAATGGTCCTCTAATTTGCCCCAGAAAACCAGCCCAAGGCAGATACAGAAGAGTTCAGTACAGAGTAAATCTCCCTCTATAATGTCCCCACCAAACACTCCCTGGATAGGTACAACACAGTTGAGGTAGATTGTAAAGCTTCCCTATATACTATCCCCATCAAACATTGCTAGGATAGGTATGACCTGGAGTTAAGTCAGAATAAAGTTCCACCAATACTGTCCCTTTCAAACACTCCTAGAACTTGTACAGCATAGTTCAGATGCAGGTTAAAGCTTCCTCTACGCTGTCCCCAAAAAACACTCCCAGAATAGGTGTGGCATGGGTTAGAATCAAAGTCAAGCTCTCTCTATAATGTCCCATCAAACACACCCAGGACAAGTACAGCACAGGGTTAGATACAAAGTAAATCTTCCTCTACACTGTCAAGAACAAAAATTGCTGCAAAAGCTCAGCAGGTCTGGCAGCATCTGTGGAGAGAAATCAGAGTTATCATTTCATCTCCGGTAACCCTTCCACGGAACTCTACACTGTTCCTCTACACTGAACCCATTAAACACTCCCAGGAGAGCTACAATGCAGGGCTACATATAAAGTAAAGCTCGCTCTGCACTGTCCCCTCTGACACTTCCAGGACAGGCACAGCATGGGGTTAGATACATAATAAGTCTTCCTCTACACTGTCTCTATCAAACACTCCCAGGACAGGCATAGCACAGGAAAAGTTTATTTACACTGTCACTTTCATACACCTCTAGTACATTCTGATGCTGCTAACATATGGATTTACAACACAGGGACGGGAAAGGATATAGCAATATAAATTAGTTGAACAAATGGAACCCTTTTGACATATTGATTGTCCACTTTTTGATCATTAGTTTTCGGTGCACATATATACTGAGTATGATAAAGCTCATGCCTGAGACAGAGAGACAATCTGCAAGAAAAACAAATGAATTAAACACTTGCTTAGCACATGGCTAATATTTAGACCAAAGTAATGACTCAAATTACTGGCATTAAACAACAATCGCTTGCAACTATATATCGCCCCTTTAACATCACAAATTGTACAAAAGAAGCAGTTATTAAACAGAAATTGACACCAAATGGCCGAATGCTGTAATTGTCCTGAAGGGGTTAATGTTCATGATCCATAACTTCCACCCATTCCACTCAAGTCACACACACTCTGTGGGTGGAGAAAAGGAATTCTACTCCAGCTTTCGGAGGGAGCAGACGGATTTGTACCAGTTTCCTAAGGTCCGAGTCAATGTGCCTGACCAACCGGAGTTGTTTATTGCTGTCATGCCAGAAAAGTTCTTGTAATCTGAGAACATTACTTCTTCTGTGATATTCTATTGTGGTGTATCCTCAACAACTAGATAGACCCTGAGGTAAAGCAAAAACAAAGGAGGATTGATGGCAGTGACCTATCTCGAAAACCCTTTAACTGTGGTAATGTATTGGTGGAGATGACAAACACCACAAGGGTCCATTAGTCGCCATCTGGGACAATGCCACACAAATCACATGAAGAAATCTGTGGGCTAGGTGACCGAAGATGTAAGAAGCATCTTAAAGTAGGACAAAGATAGACAGAGAGCAAGAGAGAAAGTCGGAGAAGCGGATTATTTGGAAGTCTGTTCTACAGTTTAGGGTGCAGTTGACTGAAATCATGTAAATGAAGGGAGTGTGGAATTTTCAAGAGGCTAGAATTGGAGGGGAGAAAGAGGATAAAGGTTAAAGGTTGGGGGGAGATTACACGGATAGGGAGGGACAAATCAGGTTGGTAATTTTAGAACCCAATAACATATTAGATACAAAAGTGTCAATTCAATTATCTGCCTTCAAGTACACTGTCCATTGTGACAAAATAAATCTTGCTGTTCTGCTGCAGACTGAGGGCTCTGATTGCACTCACTCAGTGCTGCTCTCCAACAAAACTCTTTCTGACTTTGTAGCACTCACTCTGATAATGCAACACATGCCCCTAGACTGACCAACAACAATGCAGCTTCAATACTGACCCTGCGATAGTGCAGCGCTCCCTCAGTACTGACCCTCTGACAATGCAGCACTCCCTCAGTACTGACCCTCTGACAGTGCAGTGCTCCCTCAGTACTGACCCTCCGACAGTGCAGCACTCCCTCAGCCCTGACCCTCTGACAGTGCGGCACTCCCTCAGTACTGACCCTCTGACAGTGCGGCACTCCCTCAGTACTGACCCTCTGACAGTGCGGCACTCCCTCAGCACTGACCCTCTGACAGTGCAGCACTCCCTCAGTACTGACCCTCTGACAGTGCAGCACTCCCTCGGTACTGACCCTCTGACAGTGCGGCACTCCCTCGGTACTGACCCTCTGACAGTGCGGCACTCCCTCAGTACTGACCCTCTGACAGTGCGGCGCTCCCTCAGTACTGACCCTCTGACAGTGCAGCGCTCCCTCAGTACTGACCCTCTGACAGTGCGGCACTCCCTCAGCACTGACCCTCTGACAGTGTGGCACTCCCTCAGTACTGACCCTCTGACAGTGCGGCACTCCCTCAGCACTGACCCTCTGACAGTGCAGTGTTCTCTCAGTACTGACCCTCTGACAGTGCGGCGCTCCCTCAGTACTGACCCTCTGACAGTGCAGCGCTCCCTCAGTACTGACCCTCTGACAGTGCAGTGCTCCCTCAGTACTGACCCTCTGACTGTGCAGCTCTCCCTCAGTATTGCCCCCTCTCTACTGACAGTGCAGCACACTAATTCCCCATCCCCAGGAGTGCAGCAATATCTGGAGTGAGGCTTAAACCCGTGGTGTTTTGACTTCAAGCTATACATGTTTACAAGAAATCATCGCTCAAATCAATAAGTACTTGTGAGGAAGTAGTGACGGAGTGAACATGACTGTTAAATATGAAGTTTTTTAAAATGTGATGTTCTACTTACAAGTCAAAGATCAGGTAGTGATGGCCTTCCTCAGCTATACTGTCATGCAGTCTCACTGTAAAACAAAGAAGAAGAATGAAAATGAATGAAGGGGACACTTGAGCTAACAGACTGATTGATGCTAGGAACCAACCAGAACTGTCTCCGTCACTTACACCACTGAGTCCTATTTGCAGTGCAGACGGAGTCTATTTGGCCCATTGAGTCTTTTTAGGAGGCAATCCAGTTAGTCTCAATCCCACAGCACTTCCCTTGCAATTATTTTTCTCTTCCCTATCCATACTTAGCCTAGGCAGCTGTCTATCTAGGCAAATAACACTAACTGTTTGGTGTCACTGTAGGTATTAATTACATGGACAGCCCTGTTACGATCCTGTCAGGACTTGTTAATGTTTAAAGAGAAAGCCAAGCACTTTGTAATTAATGATACAATTACACCACAAGATCTCACTTTTGAAACAAAAACAAGCTTTATTCTATGTAAGAGTCAAACAAACAAGCATTATTAACAACATTATAGTTTAGAATCATTTACCCTTTGAACTGAGTTCTATGTTTTACTTAACTCCAAGAATTTCCTTTCTGTTACAGAAATCCTTACGGTTCGTTAACTTCTTTATGAACCAACTTACAAGGGATGCCACAGACCTCTGGAAATTACTGTAATTCTCCTCGTTCTAGATATTCTTTGGAAGAATATTTTACAGGGATCCTTCCATTAGGTTTTTTTTTGGCTAAGCAAACCTCCAAGTTGTTTTTAGTAACTCACCACTTCAGATGGCCCAGTTTCTTATTCTGGTTGCCACCAGATATGTAACTGCCTCGTCACAGCTTCCAAACTAAGTCCACTGATTGCTTTCTGCCACAAGGCTGTATGAGGACAATTGTAGATTTCCTCCTCCAGCTGCAAATGAGGCATATCCCAGTGTTTTCAACTCAACAAATTCAAACTAAACCTGAGTTCCATCCACATTCTGCGCAGTGAAGGATAAACTTGGTATTTTGTTTCCTTTAAGTGTAGACTCAACTAAAAATCATCTCATGTTGGCTGTCTTCATCCAATGAGATGGAGGCTACACCAAGCAAAACTGAAACAAAAGAATCCTTGACTCCTAACAGCCCATTTCAATGACAATGTGGAGTACTTTGGGATTTCAAAAAGAGATGAAAACATATTATTTTACCTTCAACTCAGCACTTTGATTCAGAAACCCATATGAACAATTTATATTTCTAATGGATGTAATTGACTTCTCACCTGACTACCTGGTTCTCCTAAGAGGGCTGGAGAAGTGACATACATTCTTTATATTTTCTTCCACTATCAGCTTGACTTTTGGAAGATAAACACAGATTTAAGCTTGTTTGGGTTGCATTTATGTCAAGAGTTTTTATTTGCTAGTTTCTCAAACAGATGCCCCAGTTTTGCACAGTGAAAACTTTAATTTCTAAAATTGAGAATTACATTCAGAAGATACAGATTATTGACCTAACTATTTGCAGCAGTCTTTATTTAAAATTCAGAAAGCTTCATCAGAAGTTCATACCCTGTCATTAAATGTTAACCACCACACCCACCTACAGTGTGGAAGCAGGCCATTAAATTCACATTGACCCTTTGAAGAGCATCCTACCCAGAGCCATCCCATCCCTGTAATTCCCATGATTAATCCACCCTGCCTGCCCCTGGACACTATAGGCAATTTAGCATGGCCAATCCATCTAAGCTACACACTGTTGGAGAAAATTGGAGCACCCAGAGGAAACCCATGCAGATATGGAGGGAATGTACAAATTTCACAGACAGTTGCCCAAGGCTAGAATTGAACCCAGGCCCCTAGGTGCTGTGAGGCAGCAAAGCTAACCATTGAGCCACTGTGCCAACTCTTCTACTGGTCCCACCAGCTCCTTCTTACCAATTGCTGATCTGAACAACTCCCTTCTTTGTCTTTAACTTTCAAAAGGAGATTTCTTTTTTCTCCTGTTATGTTTGGTGTAGAAGTCTAAAAGATAAGGAATTTGACATTGCATCTTAAAAATGGGAGACAGAGAAATCAGCCCAGTTAAGCTGCATTCTTCAGATACCTGACATTTCCAGGGCTCGCACCTCCATTGGTCACTGGTAAAGGTTTGGGATTTGCGATGTGGGGAGAAGGTGTTTGGCTGGGGCAGAGGGGTCTGCGGAGAAGTTGGTTTGCTAGGGATGAGGGATATGGGGAGAGGGTAGTTGGCTGGGGGTGAAGGATTATTTTTATTCAGTGGGTGTCACTATCTAGGCCAGCATTTATTGCCCATCCCTAATTGCCCAGGGGGCAGTTGAGAGTCAACCACATTGCTGAGGGTCTGGAGTCACATATAGGCCAGACCAGGTAAGGACAGCAGTTTCCCTTTGCTAAAAGACATATTTAACCAGATGGGTTTTTTCCCTTACAATTGTTCCATAGTATTCATTAGACTCTTAATTTCAAATTTTTATTGAACTCAAATTCTGCCATCTGCTGTGGCAGGACTTGAACTTGGGTCCCCAGAACATTCACTGATCTAAGGATTAATAGTCTAGCGGTAATACCGCACAGTCATAGCTTCCCCACTGAGGGCTTGTAGGTGGGGTTGAGGGGTGTGGGAAGCATGTGTTTGGTTGGGAATAAGGGGTATGAGGAAATGGTGATTGGCTACATGTGAGTAGGTGTGGCTGTGATAAGAGATATGAGGAGTAAGTGAGTGCCAGTGAGATGTATAGGAAGAAATTGGTTGGATAGGGTGGAAGATGTGGGGTAAAGTTGGATGCAGGTGAAGGATATGATGAGACAGTAGTTGGGTGAGCACGAGGTATAGAGAGATTGTGGGTGGACGGTGAGGGGTGTCGGGAGAAGGTGGATGGGTAGAGGTGAGGGATATGAAGAACGTTGGGTAGATGGGGGTGAGAGAATTGGAGAAAAGGTTGATAATTGGCGATCTTATGTACTCAGAGAATTTGCATTGCTTTCACACAATCGGAACCATTCTTATATGTGTTTGGTCATTTTCATGATGTGCTGAAGCAGCTCAAAATGGAGTACAGGTCCCAATGTTAAGAACAGCCTCCTTGCCCAGTGTAGAGGCCTGCCCTGGAGTTCATGCAGTACTCGAAAGACTGGCAAAGTTACATCGAATGGCTGGGCAGAAAATTTCCAATTGCAAACAAATAGAGATCTGGAAACTGACCTCTTGGAGCTTGACAGACCATGCCTGAGCAGCATTGAAACTGATAGCATCCAAAACCTTCCTTACAGGGCTTCAATGGAAATGCTTTACAACCAAAGATTTATTTTGAAGAGCACTACCTCAGCGGAGTGTCCTAGATCCAACCATTTTCAGCTGTTTCATCAATGATCTATCCTCCATCAGAAGGTCAGAAGTGGGAATGTTCATTGATGTTTGCACAGTGTTCAGCGCCTTTTGCAACCACTCAGATACTGAAGTAGCCTATGTCCATAGGCAGCAAGACCCGGGCAATAACCAAATTTGGGTAAGTAACATTCACGCCATGCAGTTGCTAGGCAATGATCATCTCCAACAAGGGATAATCTAACTATCACCCATTGACAATCAATGGCATTACCAACACTGAATTCGCCGCTGTCTTTGGGGACATCCAGGGAGTTACCACAAACCTATAACTTATGTTACTTAGAAGAACAAGAGAAGCTGATGCATGCGAATATTACCACCCACAGTTCCTTTTTTTTGATCCAAAAACTTAGGTTTTATTCGTAAAATTTGTTAAAGTACATTACAAAACATTTCGACTTGATAATTACGGAATTTGAAATAGAATTCAACTTGTCTCCATATAGCTATTTCCACTCTTAGATGCCTCAGTATGTCTATAATTGTCTGAGTTTACAATAGGTCAGGCATACACCCCAAGGGCAAAACATGTCAAAATGAAAATTACACAAAGTGCAATAGAAATAAGCTTGTCTCCATATACAACATTCCAATCTGGGGTATTCCAACACCCTTCAATGTCACAATGCATATCCTTTGTCAGGGATACAGCCTGAGGGATTCTGCAGATTCTAGCCCTTTGGTGTACTCTGGTTGAAAGGCCTCAGACAGTGACCTTTCCCACTGAACGTCCGTGAAAGCTGCCCTGAGCTTTAATGCATCCCACAGCACATGGTCCGAGGTCTTGGAATGAGCCAGTCTGTAACACTCAGTCAAGGACAACCCTTTGCACTGGAAGACCAGCAACTTTCAGGCAGACCAACGAGATTTTTTTAACCATGTTGTGGTGTGCAGGTGCCGAAAGCTTCTGTTTTCAAATAAACCTGTTAGACTATAACCTGGTGACGTGTGATTTTTGACCTTTAACCATGTTGATGATCCTCCAGGTGTATGTCCCAGGGAACAGCCTGTAGAATGTTACACTCTGCATTCTGGAGCTACTCGGGACAAATCTCATCAAAAACCTTGTGCCACCTGCACACCTTTGTGAGCGAAGAACGTTTTGATATTCCTTTTGGTTTATTCCCAACAGAGCTTTGGACATTCAAAGTGGAGTTCCATGGCTTTTGTAATCCCTTTTGAGTTCCTCGATGTTTTCTGGAGTCAGCATACTCATGTTCAGTTGCACGATTCCCTCCAGCCCCCACATCATCCTAACTTTGAACAACGTCACCATTCTTTCAGGGTCACTGGGTTAAAATCCTGGAACTCCCTTCCTAACAGCACTGTGGAACAACCTACAGCATGTGGAATGCAGCAATTCAAGAAGGCAGTGCACGACCACTTTCTCAAGGACATCTGGGGACGGGTAATAGCTTGGCCTCGCTACTGATGACCACTTCAATTGAATGAATGAAAACCTAAATCATGCAGATAAATAGGAATTGAATTGATATGCAAGAAAGTGCTGAAAACAGTGAATATATTAATGAATTGGATCAATTAATTTTCCTCAGTGATTTTCCTTGCCATACTTGAAAGGATGTTAAAGGGGTGTTTCTGTCTTTGTGAAGAGGTAGTGGATTCTTGGTTTAATGTTTCATCTGAGCGATAGTGAGAAAGAGA